GTTAAGGGTACAATTTGAAGAAGCTAAGACAAATTGGGTTGAGGTCCAAAATGCCATTCTCGCTGCTGCCAATCTTGAGGCTGCCTCTACTAAACGACTAAATAATTTGGAGGTATCCTTGAACTCCAAAGCTGAAAAGGTTGTTGCTGTTGAGGAGAAGTATGCCCTGTTAGAAGAGAGGCATAAGAGAATTATAGAGCATAATGGAGTTTTTAACTCCATTGTCCATGACCTTAATGTCATCCTCCGGGCCATTAGATCCGAGCGGGATAACCTTTTGACTGAGGTTCATCGTATTAATGAAGAACTCAGCACCGAGCGGCTTCCCTCATTGTTGAAAAAACATATTCTATATATAGCATGAGGAGAAAAACCTTGGAATAAGCCAAAGCGGGCATCATTGATTTTGATGCCAAAATCGCCAAGGCCCGTGAGCTGTAGTCAAGTGCTCGAAAGGGTCTCCCGATCCGACTTGATACCTCTGACCCTTCAGGTTTCGGTTCTGAGTTCTCGGGAACTGAATAAGAACCCGAAAGGGATGATGGAGAAGGCCAAGATGGTGAAGGCCAAGCTTTTGAGCTGGCGATGGATCCGCCTACTTCTCCCGGGGTTCTCTTCCTCCGGAATCCGGGGATGCAGTAGCTTAGCTTTTGCTTTCTTTCCACTTTCTTTTGTTTTTCATACTCGTTTACTCATGCTTCTTAGCACATTTGTTATATATAGAAGTATTTTCTTATTTAAGTATTGCACAAGTTTTTCTTTTTGCGTCGAGTTATGCGAGGCTTCGGGTGCATTTTTCCCTGATAGCATTTGGATTCCAGGCATAAGTTCTTCCGGAACAACCCTTTTGCCATGAGGGTTTCATAAGAGATGTCCCTCTTATGTTTATGCTGCTCTTGAAGAGGACGTCTCCTGTTCATTATGTCACTAGCATTTGAATTACTTGTTTGACTTTCAAATGATAAAATTAATTCATCGTTAAGAAAAAAAAACAAGATAAAAATAATAGGACTTTATTTTATTCCTTCCAGTTTCAAAAGTACATAAGCATTCGTAGTGCTAAAAGGAAATTGCTATTACCTGTGGCTTACTTGTACAACTTGTTTCTACATGGCTGGCCATGCGGTCCCTAGTCCCGATAATAAAACTTTGCTCCCAAATTTCGTAGTCCTGGTCGATATGGCAGTTTGCCGTAATCTCAAATCATTCCCCCCAGTGTTTGAATGTGAAGAATGCAAATTGGAACACTGGAAGTCTTGCTCCATTGAGGATTCCACTAGTGAATGGTTAGATATTCTTTAGTTTGATAGAAAGCTTCACTTCCCCTTAGGAACTTTGCTACTGAGCCAAAGACTATCTATCCCCAATGGTTTGTACTCGTGAACGGTTGGGTAATCTTTGGCCCGATAGCGAATTTTACTTCCAGTAGGAACTTTGATACCGAGCAAAAGATTATCTAACCGCTCCTTAGTAATCCATTGTTTATGTGCCTTGTCATTTTAAGTTCTTATTTTTGCTAACGAAGTTTCCTTTGTAGTATGCTTTCCTTTGCTGCCTCGTTAAAAACCTTGCTAGAAAAATTCAATTGGGACAAAAAATGGACGAATGGAAAAAAGGTGCAGCACATACTTTTAGTATAGGTGATGTTCATCAACACTAGTACCTTTTGAGGTGTGCCACATTCCAGTTTCTCGACAATTTTACTCTGTCTTGATTTTCCAATTTGTATGATCCTTTCTCGGTGACAGCTGAAATCAATAAGGGTCTTCCCATGTCGGACCTAACTTTTCTACCTTGAGCTCCCGTGTATTATGGGTTACTTTCCTTAAGATCAAGTCTCCTACTTTGAAATAACAGAGATTGGCTCTTTAATTGTAATATCTTTCGATTCTCTGTTTTGGGCTGCCATCCTTATATGTGACAAGTCCCTGTGTTCGTCAAGCAACTCCAACTTGACCAATAATGCTTTGTTATTTGTTTCTTCGTCCTCCCGAAAATATCTCAATGTAGGTTCCCTTACTTCTATCGGGATTAAGGCTTCCACCACGTATACAAGAGAAAAAGGAGTCTCCCCCATGCTTGATTTAACCGTTGTTCGGTATGTCTATAGTACTCCTGGTAGTTCTTTGAGCTATTTGCCTTTGGCTGCTTCCACTCTCTTTTTGAGATTTTGGATAATCACCTTGTTTGTTGATTCTGCTTGACTGTTTGCACTCGGCTGATAGGGTGATGATGTGATTCTATTGATTTTCAAGTCTTCGAGGAATTATGTGACCTTTACGCCTATAAATTATGGCTCGTTGTTGCGGTCTATCTTTTTTGGTATCTCGAATCTGCAAATTATATTCTCCCACAAAAAATCTACCACTTTGCGCTGCCAATTTTCTAGTAAGGACCTACTTCAACCCACTCAGAAAAAGAGTCAGTTAAAATCAAAAGAAATCTTACATTATCAGGGCTTTTGCTTTCTTGACAAAGTTAGCTTCAGAAGCCCCCAAACATAGGGCCAATGGGCCTTGGAAAGATCTTCTATACAATTGATCTCCCTTGAAGCTGTATCGAGCTGCTTTAGTGCGCAGCACCCGAGATGTCTTGGGATCTTTACGAAGTTTGTCGTGCTCGAGATAGTCAATTATCTCATTTCTCCAATCCCAGACCAAACTGGTCGTGTTTACTTCGTCGTAGTTGTCTGCATCCAATACTGAATTCATAAGTTGCACGACCATACTTGAGTCTGATCCCTTCATTCTGTGGATGATCCTAGATTGGCTAGTGTTACACCCCATGTTTTCGTACATAAAAGTACGCCATAAGCGAATTGATAAAATCTTGGAAATGAGATATTACCTCCCGCATTTTCGTACGTTAAAGTTTTGTCGTAAGTTAATCAACGTAAGTTCGGGAATGAGATTATTTTGAGATTATAAGCATTATTCTATTTCAAACAAGTGATGAGTAAATTCGTGAAGTTTAGAGGGTAAGCAAATAGAAGAAAATGAATTTCGTCGAAGTTTGACATTTTGGGATGAAATACGGCCCGAGCTAAAATATCTGGTATTTATGGACTAGTACCATACAATGTACCACATGACTATGATAATAGGGTAAAAAAGTGTATTAAAAGCGAGAAGTATTTTAAGTAATTTGAGATGATTCTTAATTGCATGGGCATTTATCTACGTGTAAGTAGCTAGCTAATTGCATGGGTTATCTTATCATTAGCTAGGTGGAGGCTTGTGAACTCATTTTATCTAAAATGTAACACCTTGTGTGATCAATAGATTCCACGTATTCATACTATTTGTTTAAGACAAAGTGAAATTAGTTCTTTTTCTCTATTACTACTAGAATATTAATAACTCATCTAATTGAAAAGGGAGATGATTCTTGAGAATTTCTTGACCAGCAAAGAAAGTAACGATCTTAAGCAAAATAATTTCATACGAAATTATAATGCATAATAGGGACAAGATTTTGCGATTCTAAGTGAGTACGGTGCAATATTTCTCAAGAATATCATACGGATTTTCCCCTACTTCAATCCGCTGTTACGTGTTGTCGCAAGTGATGTATGTTAGAGGGATTGTCAAGAGAATTGGCTCAGGTATGTTAAGGCTATCCCTTCTTTCTTTTTGGCATGATCTATACAACACGAACGAAACGAGAAAATGCACAAATTCCATAAATGACTCTATTCATAGAAATACTAGAGATGTCGATATTCTTGATTCCTTATGTGTCATATTATTCTATCATCTGTTCATGGGTCTCAAAAATACGTAAGTTGGTAAAATTTATTTCAAGATATTAATCAAAGGCATAATGGTCTTATGACAAACCGAGAGATTTTATTAACATATTTTCATATGCATTTCATGCATTTACATATGCACATTGACCCATGACCAGATGGCATTATATACGCGTATATATGTGTGTGTGTGTGTATGGGATGTAGGAAAGGTTATGGTGTTATATACGCACCACCACCTGATCAGCTGGTATACGTTGATGATTTTGCCCACAGTGGCCGAGATGATATGATGGGATGCCCTCAGAGGCTTGATAATGTTATGAACATATGTACCTATGCACGACATGACATTTATACGTATATGCATGACATTTTAAATATTAAAGGATTTCACGGAGCTATTCAGATTTATATGTCAAGTCTTTTACTCCATGTTTCTCTTATGTCTATTGTTTACTGATTTTTATTCCTTACATACTCGGTACATTATTTGTACTGACATTTCTTTTGCTTGGGGACACTATGTTTCATACCCGCAGGCCCCGATAGACAGGTCGAGAGTCCTCCAAGTAGGCGATTAGCTCAGCGGAAGATGTTAGTGCACTCTATTTGCTCCGGAGTTGCTTGTTTGGTTAGTATGATTTAGATGTGTATTGTTTGGTATGGCGGGGCTCTGTCCCGACCTTTACGATATTATGTATTCTTAGAGGCTTGTAGACAGATGTCATGTATACGGATTATTGTATGGCCTTTTCGGCCTATATTTTGAGTATATAAAGGATCATATCGTCCTTATAGGCCCGTACGTCATATGTATAAGCTTGGATTAAATGTTGGATCGTCCAATGTCGAGTATCTCACCATATTTTATTCTACTTATCTCAATATAGCCTCTCTAGCCCATTTACCTATGATAGTATGACATGAAAAGATACATTATGTTGGTACTCGGTTGAGTAAAGTACTAGGTACTCGTCGCGGCCCATCGATTTGGGTCGTGACAGCTAGTGCATCTACCTCTGCATTTTCTTCTCTCAGGATGTGAGTAATTGGCCATTCCCTAAACCGTGCGAGCAGAGCCTGGACTTGCACTATATATTGTTGCACGCGTTCCTCTTTGGCTTCGAATATCCCGTAGACTTGATTGACTACCAATTGGGAGTCGTAATTAATTTCTATGACCTCGGAGTCTAGTCCCCGGGCCAGCTCGAGTCCTACAATTAAAGCTTCATACTCTGTTTCATTGTTAGTGAGAGGAACGGTTCTTATAGCCTGCTTTAGGGTTTCCACCGAGGGCGTGACCAGCACTAAGATGAGCCCGGACCCGTTCATATTGGAAACCCCGTTCATGAACAACCTCAAAACTCTTGATGTTGGCTCTGACACCATTCCTGCTGCTTTGGTACCAAAGGCAACAGTCCCAGGCTAAAATCAGCCACAAAGTCGGCCAAAATTGTGGCTTAATCACAGTCCTAGGTTTATACCCTATGTAAAATTCACTCATTTCGACTACCCACTTGGCCAGCATACTTGAAAGTTCATGTTTATGAAGGATATTCCGTAGGGTAAAAGTGGTCACCATGGCTATCGGATGACATTAGAAATAAGGCCTAAGCTTTTGAGCGGCGACTACGAGATCTAAGGCCAATTTTTCCAGATATGGGTAGCGAGTTTCTGCTCCCGTTAAAAGTTTACTAACATAATAGATAGGAGATTGTGTACCTTCATCCTCATGGGCTAAAACGACACTCACCGCTATTCGAGACCACTAAGTAGATCGGCAGTTGTTTGCCTTCCTCTGATTTTGACAGTAGTGGAGGACTTGACAAATACATTTTCAAATCCTTCAAATCTTGCTGACATTCTGGAGACCATTCGAAGTTGTTCTTCTTTTTGAGGAGTGAGAAGTGATGGCATTTTTTCGAATACTGGGAAATGAATCTGCTTAAAGCAGCCAGTCTTCCTATCAACCTTTGAATCTCTTTCACGCTTGATAGTTGATCAGGGATATCTTTGATGGCTTTAATTTTATCGGGGTTAACTTCGTTCCCCTTTTGCGACATCAGGAATCCCAAAAATTTACCGGAGCTTACTCTGAATGCACATTTCTCGGGGTTAAGCTTCATGTTGTGCTTCCTTAAGATGCCAAAGGTTTCTTGCATTCAAAAACTTGATCTGCATATTATCTATGTAAACTTCCATGGTCTTCCCTATTTGCTTTTCAAACCTTTTTTTACGAGTTGTTGATAAGTGGCTCAGGCATTTTTTAGCCCGAAAAGCAATACATTATAGCAATATGTGTCGAAGTTCATTATGAACGAAGTTTTTTACTGGTACTCCGGGTTCATATCGATTTGGTTCTACCTGATGTAGGCATCGAGGAAACTCATTAACTCGTGCCCAGTCATTGCATCAATCATTTGATCAATGTTCGGCAATGGGAACGAGTCTTTTGAACACGCCTTATTTAGATCCTTATAGTCTACACACATGCGAAATTTATTATTCTTCTTTGGAACTACTACTACTACGTTAGCTAGCCAGTCAATATATTCTACCTCTTGAATTGAACCGATATCGAGCAAACGAGTTACCTCTTCTTTGATGAATTTGTTTCTAACCTCGGCACTAGGACTTTTTTCTGTCTTATCGGGGGGATGTTAGGATCTAGGCTCAATTTGTGCACATCCACTTTTGGCGGGATATTTGTCATATATATCCGCATGCGACCATGCAGAATAGTCAATGTCAAATTTAAGAAATTCTATAAATCCTTACCTGAGCTTGGGGTTAGACCCGTCCCCAAGTGGAACTTCCTCTCCAAAAAATTTCGAACAATGCAACTTGCTCAAGTTCTTCCGTTGTGGACTGTGTTGCGTCTGTTTCTTCTGGTACCTGAAAATATCTTGGTACCTATTAGGATTCCGATGACTCCTATACCGGTTGACTTCGCTCGACATGGGAGCAGGAGTCAGTTCCTATAATGGCTATGTTGCATGCTCCTTTCCTTTTCTATTGAAAATTGAGATTGCGCTTATCTCCCTTGCCGTCGGTTGGTCACTTCTTACTTGTTTAATTCCCTCGGTATTTGAAAATTTCATAAATTTGTGATATGTTGACGGCACAACGTTCATCTCGTGCAACCACGGTCTCCCCAGGATAATATTATAGCCCATATCGCTATCTATTACATCGAAAAGGGTCATCTTCATCACCCCATCGACATTTGTGGGCAGCAAGATCTCTCTTCGGGTTGTCACGTATGCTAGATTGAACCCGACGATGAGTTTTGTGGCCGGAATGATACTTCTAGTGAGCTTGGGTTTCTCCAGCACTCTCCATTGGATAATATTTGTCGAGCTTCTTGGGTCCACCAAAACACGTTTAATTTTAAAATCTAAGACATTTAAAGAGATTACCAAAGCATCATTGTGTGGCAACAATAGTCCATCTGCGTCTTCCTCCGTAAAAGTAATGTCATCCTCAGCGACTTCCCGGAGTATTTTACTGTGGGTCACTTCGTCTTTTTGCCGCCAAAAATGTCACAGCATTAATCTCGTTCCCTCCAAAGAACATGTTGATCACCAAACGTGGATGATCTTCTCTTGATTTTGAAGGTTTCGCGTTATCACGATTACGATCATAGTTATTTTTAGCTCGATCACTTAAGAATTCTCTGAGATTTCTATTTTTCAGCAATATCGCCACCTCCTCGCACAAACGCCGGCAGTCCCCTGTTCGGTTGCCATTGGTCCCATGGTATTTGCACCACAAATTAGGAGCCCTTTGACTAAGATCGGATCTCATTGGCTTCGGGAACCGTGCTTCCTTACCACTCTTCATAGCCGATACTAGCTCCATTATGCTGATGTTGAAGTTATATTCGGAAAGCCTGGGGTAGGAAGAGTCCCAGGAACCCGATATTTTTTTGTCCTGCAATGATCTGCTATTCCGTCCGTGATCAACTCTCCTATCAGATGTGAATTTATCCCCCGAACAGAAATCTCTACCACGTCTTTCGTCCCTTTCATAGGGCAAAAACGGACCTCTTAAAAACCATTGATCTATGTCGAAATCATCCTTTGACTTCTCCTTATTCTTATCCCGATCCCGACCCTTGGTTAATGCCAGGAAATCGAGCTGGTCATCCTCAATTCTTATCTTTGACTCGTACCGATTGTGAACATCTGCCCATGTTATTGCCTGAAACTCTAGCAGACTTCCTTTCAATTTCTGAAAGTGTTAGAACTTTTTGGATTCAGACCTTTAGTGAATGCTTTAGCTGCCCATTCATCCAATATAGTCGGTAGCAGCATCCTTTCCTTCAGAAATCTGGTTTAAAACTCCCGCAACAATTAGGCTTCTCCTTGTGCAATCTTAAATATGTCGGCTTTTCGGGCCTGTACCTTTTTGGCCCCAGCTTGGGCCTTGATAAAAGAATCCAAGAGCATCTCGAAGGAATATATTGAGTGCTCGGGCAAGAGCGAATACCATGTCAGGGACCCCTTCGTGAGGGTCTCCCCGAATTTCTTCAGTAAGACTGTCTTAATCTAGTGGGGAGCTAAATTGTTCCCCTTCACCACTGTTGTATAAGTGGTGATGTGCTCCTAAGGGTCTGAAGTCCCATCGTACTTCGGCACATCGAGCATTTTGAACCGCTTCAGGATCAATTCTGGTGCCATGCTTTGTTTGAACGATAGCTGGGTGTACTTATTTGAGTCCGGTACTTTCAACACTGGTGGTGTGCCTGGAATTTGATCTATTTAGGTATTTATTTCCCTAATAAACCGCATGAGTTCGGTTTTGAAGGGATCATTCTCGCTGTTGTTACCGAATCTGCTACTATTCCCCTGGCCCTGTCGAAGCCAACTTTGCCCCTCGGGGTGTTGTTGTCGACTCTCTACGTTGTTTGGTTTGCAACCAGGAGGAACTGGACCTTGTCCATTCGCATTATTGGGAAGTACCCCACAATGCCTGCTTCAACTCCGTCATGACCTGATCCTGTGGGGAGAGGTAGCCAATAATGGCTTTTTGTTGCTCCCTTAGGATCCTTAATGTTTCAATGATGTGTTTGTCTTCGACATCATCAGGGGTTTCCTCTCGAACATGCTATGGATATTGCCCGTCGTGGACCGGCGTAGCTTCATTCCCCTCGTTGCGGGTATCACTGATTGAATCGAACTCACTGATTGAATCTTCGTGCTGAGGCTAATTTCCTTAGGCCTCGACGCTGTGTGCGATGTTGACATCGTTATCTGCTATTTTCTATAATTTTTACTAAAAATAAAGAATCAAATAGGTTAGCAATAGATGCAAGGATCAACTCAATTACACAACTGTCTAAGCCCCACGGTGGGCGGCAAACTCTTTACCTGTAAAATGGTACAATTGAATTTGTACGTGGTTTATAGACAAGTGAATCAATTTGATCCCAAAATGATAAAAAAATTAAACAAGAATATAAGATTTAGCATTGAAATCGAGATAAGACAGCAGAAATCTTGGTTCCAGGAGCAGAGCTTTCGGAGGCAGTAGTAACGATATTAATAAGCAACAAGATAAAGTATTATTGAGCTTTGAACAGTATATAGAATAAGCTTGTCAGAAAATTCTCCCCACAGTGGTTGTTGGAATCCCTATTTATAGTAGTACCTAGGGAACAAGGTCTGAGGATCAAGCCCCTCTTAAATGACAATTATAGGGGTCAAGAATGTGTAATGGTAGATAGTAAATATCATATTCTCTGTAACGGACTACGTACTTAATGCTATAGAATATTCTCCATTAAATGTCACCAGGTGACAGACATTTATCTCGCCTTTATGAACATCATTCCCTTCGGGGATAAACGAGATTGTCGCCTTCAGACCTGGTTGCCTACTGCCTCCGGCTCCATGTGTCGTTTTATTATGTGAGCATTTAATATGAACATATTTTATCCTATACATAAGTACTTCACTGATAAAAAGGCCAACCAATTAAGATGGATTATAACTGGTTTTACTCAAGTATATTTTACTCAATTGATTAAGATGGCCTAAGGAAAACTGAGAACAGACTAAACTGCTAACCTTCCCAAACTTGAACATGGAGCTTTAATTGAATCTACAGGTGTATTAAACACGTCAAAAATTTTGACTGATAGTTTCATCTTTTCCCTATCATTCCCAGCTCGTCAAATTCAGTTCTATTTTCTATTTGTCTTCTTTTTTTTCTTTTTCTTTTTTTTTGGCAATCCGCTAGGCAAGCGCCTAGGGCTAGTTTTTATTTATAACAAAAAGTAAAAATACAACAATTAGGAAAAGTAAAAATAAGGGGGACAATAGCACCGGTCTTGTTACCCATATAACACAAACCGGTCTAACCTTACCTTACTAATCCTATTGAGGTTTGCAAACCTCGCCTACTAACAAGCATGTAAAAAATATGAACTTGAAAGGAATAAGTATTGTATGATCATCACAGAGTTTATAACATACTCTGTGATGATATTACAGATGATAATACTAAGAAAATGGTAGAATAAAATGTAGTACCAATTTGATTCTTGTCCCTTCTTTTCCAAAGTTATAAAATCTTCACTTTGTAATTCTTTGTCGTTTTCAACAACTTTGTTCAAAAATTATTCAAAAATCATGATTTCTTTTTTGACCGGTTTGACCTCATTGATGTAGTTGGGGCAGCCTGCTTTTGTTTGGCAACTCTCATTGGAAGTCGCCTAACAATTGCTTCCTTGTTGGACCTTGTTGCAATTTTCATCCAGATAGCACCTGTTTTGCTTGTTCCAATATGTTCCTCCATAGTATTTGGTGGGGTATCTAGGTGGTGAAGGCATGTGCCACAGGAAGGCTTGCTTGGAATGAAATCTGGAGCATCCAACTTGCCCTTTAACTTGCCAGTCATAATACTTTCAACTTTTAGCGTTTGAAGTTCATCCTTGATAACTCTTTCCACTCGATGGCTCACAAACTGAAACTTTAGTTTAAGACCATATTCCTGCTCCCTTTTCAAATTTGAGCAGTTGAATTTATTTGAAAAAGAGCTCAAAGGTTGATTGATTATGGGATCCTCAATGAACTGCTCACAATGCACAGCAGTTGCTGCAATCTGCTTCTGCTTCACCTTC